GGTGTGGGGAGTGCTATCAAGGTCTTCGCAGACGACCGAGTGCCACGGGGTACGAGGTTTGCCAGATTTCTGTGGGATAAGGTGAATACCAAACTTTGGGCCAGCGTTGTCGTACTGGTGAATGGATATGCGTAATGCGTCTGGATATGAATCGTCGACCAGCGCTGAAAAGCCCACATTGCGGTGCATCATTTGCTTGGCAATCTTGCCGCAACTACGCTTCATGGCAGAGCGAGACATTCCCACCCATTGCTGAGCGAGATCACGCTCAAGGAACTTGCAGAAGGAGCAGTATGTGTTGCGAATAGCTGCTTCCGTCTTGATACGAGTATCGAAATCCATGTGTAGCACATTGAACCGTTCGAGGATCTCCGGGATCGGGTCGTCCACGTTCTTGACGTAGTTGTCCATGGAGTCGAAGTAGATGTGAGTGTGACCAGCCTCCTTCACCATCGCTTGCATCTCGTTCTCAAAAGCGCGTAGGTCACTTAGGCTCACTCCTAGCAGGTCGTTGAAGACGCGACCGTCGCTGAAGATGACCATTTTACATCCTGGAGGGTACGCCTCCTCCACTTCACGACAGAAGCGTTCGAGGCGCTCCATAGACAGCTCTTCAGCACGGTCTGGCAGCTTGCCCAGCACTTTATCGGTTGAGTTTGGCGACTTGAATGGGAACGCCGGCAGAACGAGCGTGATTGGAGCGCGACGCTCGATCATCCGCATCACGATCTTCTGCATCTTGGCTCTACCTTCCTCTTCAAAACGATCGATCGGAGCAGGAAAGCGACTCTGAATGGCGGCAAACTTGTCGAGGAAGTGTTCCCAGACTTTGGTATATTCATCTTCGGTCCACAAGGTGGATGCCGGTTGGACGTCATGTGGATACGGACCTTGATCGAAATTTGGGGCCATTTTGGTGGTCGGTGCAGCTTGAAATGAATTTTGGCTGTAATAGATTTGATGTGAGGCTTGGAGCGCAAAATGGAGAATGAACTGTTAAGGTATTGTCGAGTGGGCGTTTGTGGACGATCTAACGGTATGTCCGGAGCAGATATCTGCTTTCTTCCCCGAAACTACGCCACGATAACCAATCACTTGCTACATGTACGACGCCGCTGACCGCAGTGCACGACCCGGTCCGCTGTTTTGTAATCATCCACTGGTAGCATCATCGTTATCGTAAAACTTGGTTTCTGTAGTAGTGGTAAGTAAAGTGTTGACGATTTGGAGTAAAAAGTTCATGTGTGCCGTATTAAATCAATCTGGACCTACAGGTATTAATAAGTGTGGTTAAAGTGGATAGTTATTGATTCTGCAATACCGCACAATGGGGTGATAAGTATGAGCGACTATAAAAGGTATTAATGCATGCTTTCTCACTAGACTTCCAATTGACAGCGAAAACAACAATAGTAAGATTAAAAGTTATGTTTCTGTCTAGCAATTATAACTGTGCTGCACGCTTCCCGACGGAATTTCCCACTCCTTGACAAAACCCTGTGAAATGGACCTCCGATTTGCATGATGCAGAACCATCAACGAACATGCACCGTTAGTTGAAGTGCACCAAACTCTCGCCAGTTTGTCCCACCGAAAAATGAGAAGCCGATGACGCTTTGTATATGCAAGTGATGGCCCGGCCATCATGGCCGCTCACCTTCACACACCTGGTGTGCAGCGATAATAGCCCTGAACATATTTCGGTGGGCGCACTACATTTTTTTTCAATGTAGGGATGGATCTACTGTAATAACGCAGAAGATAATATCGAAGCCCACTAATAAAAGCATCACCACTTGGACCAGAACCAAAGTTAAACACTGGCATCACTGATGTCGCATCAGGATCTCATTCAGATTGCATGTTGTTCTGTGGGGTGGGCCGCATCCACTCATCCGCTGCTAGAAGTTGAAGGACGCGCTGGTTGATCTGCAGGATGCACAGACTCGTCCCTAGCCATGCATTTTCGACTCTGGCAGTGCTTGCGTGACGCTGTTTCCAATTACGAATCGTATTGTATTAAGTATTGTCCTTATCCACGTTATCAACGACGGTATTCCTGAGTATAGACTCAACGCACAGGCATGCAAGATCAGCTCACACCCGCTTATAAGTGAGTGAGATTTGGCCGGGAGCGTGCATTATGTACTCTGTACTGTATCAACGGCTAGCGTAGAGTAAGGATTGTCCCGTAACCAACTGAAAGGGACGACGTTAGCGCTCCTGTTAAGGGAGCTTGGCACTGGACCCGTTCATTCTTGAATTTCACCACTCCACGACACTTCAAGCCAACCCGACAATATTTCCTTTGAGGTCTCCGTTCGAGCTACCATGTCACCCAACGCTACGACTGAATCCGCACATTCGGGCCACCACATGACCGCTGACAAGGAAGCTGTAGCGACGCACTTCTTGACCAAGCTCGCCGAGCTGCAGAGCCGCTTCGACGCGCATACCGACGAGTTCGCCTCCAAGGGCAAGCAGCTCCTAGAGACGGCGGTCATGCGCTTCGTGGATCACAAGGAGCCCATCACGATGGTGCTGCCGGGGTTCGCCATGAAAACACCCAACCACGGAGGGAAGGTGCTGGGTCCGCTACCCGATCGTGCCGAGGAGCTCGCACTCGCACGTCTGGAGAAGTTTTGTGCCTCCATCGAGGAAGTCTACCCTATCGGCTGCAAGGTTACGATCTTCAGCGATGGCCGCGTGTTCGGCGATCTGGTAGGTGTAACTCCTGAGAACATCCGTGCGTACAAGAATGGTCTGAAAGAGCTCGTGAAGGACGCGGGCCACACGCACATCCAGTTCGACGGGCTTGAGAACTACACCAAAACCGACGATCCGGTGCAGGAGGTACTGGAGCGCTTTCGCGTCGACAAGATGAACATGGACACCCGTATCGCGAGCGAACCCGATATCGGCAACAACTTCCGTTCGTTCTCACAGTTCATGGAGAGAGACATGGCTCACCGCTGGGAGGGCAAGTCGGACGCCGAGATGCGCAAGGGTTGCGATGAAGTCGCGCGCAAGATGATGCT